GATTGAGAGGTGAGAAATCAAGTTGTAGACACACAGTTGATGTTTCAAAATATAGTCTATAGTCCATACTCATACTGTCATAGGACATTTCAGAGTGTGATATATCAAAATTTAGTGTAGATATAGTCTAGTAATGGTATGCAAACACTGCTGGACTGTAGTACATGCAATGAGCATATATACGCTCATTTAGTACATCAGATAAAATGCATTATGTATTCAAGGTATTAGTTAGTATTTAGGTGGGTATGTTACAAAAAAATTAAAGTTCATCCGATTTGAATAAAAACTGCACCAGTGGATAGATCTAAGTGAAAATAAGAAAACAATACCAAGTTTGTGAAAAATGGTCAAGAATTAACGGAGATATCTGCATTTAAGTACCGCCCGATAGGCCAATTTTTTCCATAAGGATTGTATTGCGCCGACTCAAAAACTGTGACCGCGAGAATGTCAGACCGATAAACAACAGAATGTATCTCGGCTATTTTTGGAGGTAATCGAAAAAAATTTTGAACGAAAAGTTATTGTGAATAGAAGAACCTAATGCAAAAAAGTTTACAAATTCTTTTTAACGATATTAGCTGCTTTTCAATTAATTATGTACGAGAAAGTTTCTGAACTTTACATAACCTCTGGTCGGCAACGACTTTCCCAATACGCAAGTCCCCGCATACGCGGCAATTAACTGATTTAGCGTTTTTCATATCTGACCTTAATGAACGATTAATTATCATTTAATATTCCTTAACTCGTAGGAGATTTACCGCGCTTAGTGAAACGCAAAACGAGAGAAATCGCTGCGAGGGAAAATGTCGGCATTCAGTCGATAACTGATGCGCGTTGACAGACGCGTGCTAAGATCATACTTCTCGTGCCTTGAATTAATTTGTACCGTTTCGTAAACGTATGCGAATTGACTTTTTTCAATAAGAACTTTAATAAATACAAAAAAAAAACACATATCAATCTTTAATTTTTCGATGTGCATCACATCTAAGAAAATTCAGATTACTTTAGGATTTTATTCTGGCAACGATCATTGAGGCCGTCGGAAGATCGTCGCAAATCAACCCTGGAGTTGAGCATATTAGTTTGACAGTGCCTCGTTGCGGGTAATAATTAACGATGTTCTGATTGAACAAACTTCATAAAAATTGGTAAGTATCAAGTTAGGAATGACATACATGCGTCCATATATATTTTATTGGTGTCCATAGACAATATCATTAATTTGCAGTACGTATAACTTTAGCGTAATTTTTAAAAGCCCCGAATGTTGGGAAATTTATGCGCTAATAAAAAAATTCAAATACCAAATCATAGTTGCGCATTTTATCTAAGTTATGTCCAAATTTCATGGAATTCCAAACAACAGCAGGCAGTCCGTAGTCGTTTTTATGAGCGGTATTCTGACACGGCGTTACGGTACTGGTACTTAGCAGACGTGGTGCGTACATTTTTTGGCGCGAAAAAGCGCGTTTTGTAACATTCCTAATTTAGGGGTATTTTTAAAATCATGCTGCTCCAAATATTATTTTCTTCCTTATTTTAGATACTGTACTACAAAAGAAAACGGCACTGTTCCACCAATCCGACCTAACGCAGGCTCTGATCCCTGCTGCTATCAGTGCTATAAAATGGATTAAACAAGAAGTCTTGAAGCTTAAAGGTATATGAGATTCATAATAGTTGCAAACAGCTTAGATGGGCTATTCATATTGAAATACTTTAGCACTTTTCTGCAATTGGAACTGCCCATCAAATTCATGTTGGAGACTTCATTGAGATTTTCAATTCATTTTTTTCCCTCGACTATGAAGATCTTTTGAGGTTAACGAGGCATTAATAAATAAAGCTGAGGAATTTGAAGAGGATATGAAGAATGCAAATGATACCAGGGCACGTCTATTTAACACTGTCAAACATAAGGATTATACTCTCCACCCAACAATGATTCACTGAAGAAGCATGTGGCCCTCAAATCAGTTCTTGAGTTGGCAAACTGAAAGAAAAATAGTCAAAATAATTTATGAAAGTGTGCCAAAATCAACTTAAATCACATTATACCTATAGAGGAAAAGTCGATTTTTGAGATAGTGGATTTCGAAAACAATTCAGAAGAAAGTGAATTGGATATTACAGTTGATTTAATAAGTATCATACATTTGTTGTTTTTTTTCGGACATTTGTTAGTGTCGTAGTCCTGTTTCTAGGAATATTTTTGCCTTTGTTCAAATACATAACCACATAAACTAAAAAAAGATTAATTGTAAATTGTAATATTTCTGTTCACTATGTTATGTACATATTGTACATTCATTTAATTTTCTTGACTTTTGCGGTAAATTTCTAAGTGAGAAATAACTGATTTATTTGTGTTTTCGTGCCCACGATGTTAATTTGTGACTTCATTGCTTAAAAATAAATACGTTTGATAGCTTCTATAAAATGGATGTAGCTTTTTATGCTGTTCTTGTTGTAAACTGCTTGTGTTATTACATAAAATTTATTCGCAAATGTGAATCAGCGTTGTTGGTGTCGCTGCTTTCGAGGTCACTCCCGACTCCTGTCACACAATTAAAGTATTTTTTGTTGTTGGTTACATGTATGCCATATTTTTCGTAATCTACCTAATAAATTATGATTGACTGAGGAAGTCCGATTTTGGTCAGGCAAAACATTACAGGAATACATTTGTGTTAGTGTGCTGTAGGGCTCTCGAATTGTATAGTTCTTATGTATGTGTTGTAAACTTATGGTTATTGAATTTCCGGGAACCTCTTATATTCAATTTCGCACCAGGATTCTGGAACAAGCTGTAATGCGTTCATTATGTTCGTTTTCACACAAAACTGGAGAATTTATTTAGTTACCAGATGTGCGCTACGAAACTCATTTTCTGGGTGTTTTCATGGTTTCGTCTCACGGCCCATATCCGTGGTAAGGATCTACAAGTGTTTAATAATTTACTTATACATTTTTCAACAACGTCTTAGCATAACTTAACCAATAATAACTAAACAGGGCTATGGAAAGCCTGCCCAACTCAGCGCAAGGTCGAGCAGTAATAACTAATATTCATCCGCTCGCTAACAGCTGGTTTAATTCAATTGTTACGTCATGCAGAAGTCATTGTTCCTTGCCGAAAATGTAGAGAATATAGGACAGATCGTAGCACATATTTCCTGTAGTAAAAGCGTCTTTTCTGTAAAACGTGCAACTTTTGGAAGTGGGAACAAGGCAATATTTGTTACTAAATTTTTAAGGAACATTTTAAAATCATTTTCAGATAGTTACCTGATGTGCGCTACGAAACTCACTTTCTAGGCGTTTTTCAGGGCCTCGGCTCGCGGCCTATTCCTCAGAGGCACAGTTGTGACCACTTCATGGCAGCTCCTGCCACGAACGAACCGCGGCATCTCTTGCCACGGTTTTATAGCGCTATTCAGTAATCAGTATTAACTGTACATTCATGCACCTGAAATTTTAGTTCAAAATTGTCATAAATATCATGTTCTACTTGGAATTAGTAACAAATTCATGCACCAGATTTTGATTGATCATGCGGAATTATATCTACTTAAACCCTAACCCCAAATACATCAAAACTGTATCCATAAGAAAAACGTTCCAACTTACTCAATCCTTGTCATCATAAGGGACAGCTCTGTCTTTGCGGCCCACCTATCGTGGTTACGACAGCAAATTTTACCTGCCATTGGTTTTCGATTTGCTGCCGCGGTAACGGCAGCTCGTCATTGGTTTGTGGCAGCTTAAAAGTCAGTCGTCATCATAGGTTCATGGTTAATCAGTTACCGGTAACCATGATAGGTTTGGCCATAGCGGCCATGGAATAGAAATACCGCCATGGTTTTGCGGCAGCTGCAGACGCCACAGAATACTTAAAACTGCACTTGCTTCCTCAGGATGAATATGTTAAATTATATCTCCTCCAAATTTCCTGAATTCTGTCTGATATTTCTTCACACCGGTATGTTCCGTCTCCATAAACTGTTAGCGGCATAGGCCTACAAGCATTGAAAAAGTACTAACGTTAATTGATAAAATACCGTACCGGTACAGTATACAGGTATAGTCTACCTGTAATTTATTCTGACAGTAACAAATAAAAACTGGCCACAGAATCAGGAGAGCGAATGAAACCTGGCTTGGCGGTGGGGCCCATCGTTCTAAGCGCTACGAAGTACGAATACGCTCGCAGTCGTCACTGCGCCTGTGATTACGGTGCCCTTCGTAGATTCGAATCTCATGCCTGCATGCGGGTGTATGATTAAGCCGTCTCTTCGACTTTCTTCTCCACCAGGATAAAAATGTAAATCCTATCTTAAAACCAAAGATAACAATTCTAAATAAAAAATATAGCCTATGTGGTAGAACCAAAACAGAAAAATACTTATTGTTGACATTTTTATTCTGCCTCTTGTATCAGTGTATGGAGGTGGCAATATAAATCAATTAGAGAAATCACAATTTTTTCATAAAATCACTTTTGATGGCAATTTGTTGTGCATGAGGAACATACTGGTAGTAGACTACAGGACTATGTATTTGAAGTTATCTCCCATAATTGAGTGAGAAATTTATTCTGTTATCTATTGCAGTATTGTGTTACTTCAGTCTGTCAGTGCACAATGATTTCATGACTGATATAGATTAAGCAGATCACTTGGATTTTACATAAACATTTCATTACATTTCGATTATTTTCCTCCCCAAGTATAATATACAGATATACTGGTAGTAGTAATACATGAATATAGGTAACATGGAAATGCAAATGGACAGACTGCTGCTGATAGCTGGATAGTGTAATAAAAGTGTGCAGAAAAAGAAAATGTCTGATGAATATTAAGTAGAGTATATTTGCCTTGATTAAAATCAGAAAACCGATGACTGAATTACAGTGTTCATTTTTCAGTCCTATTTTTGTTTTATTCAAAGAGGTCATCTAATCTCATGAACTGCTTATATTATCATGACTTCATTTTACCTAACTAACAGTTAAATAATATACGGTATACTGCTGCACTGCAAAGACTTTTTTGCGGATTGAGTAGTCTGCTTACATGACGTATGCCAATCGAGGTTAGACTGGAGTGTTCTCAGCGTGAATTTCAATAAAAAACTTCCATCTAACTCTGCTATTTGTTTATTGCTTGAGTCCTATAATCCACCTTACCGATGTCTGGAATTGCCCCCTCTAGATTGTCAGAAGAAAGAAAGGCATGGAGAAAAGACCACCCTTTTGTGAGAATTATTGTATATTTTGAAATGCAATCTGACAATTCATTTTTGTAATCATGTTCTGGTTATTTAAAGCTAATATTCTCAGAAATCGTGATATATAGTGTATATACTTAGTAGGCCTACATTAGACTTATTCCTCGTTTGTGAAAGAGAAATTTCACCTATTCAATTTCTGATTAGCATTACGATATGAGGGCTGGGATTGATAAGGCATTTAGTGTTATTGTATGTATGAATCTCTTATATATATCTCTTATATAGGGTTTCGTGGCAAGACCAGTGAAGAATCCAGATGGAACATTCAATTTGATGACATGGGATTGTGGTGAGATATTGTTTCAGATATCATAACCTGAAATTTTAGTTCAAAATTGTCATAAATATCATGTTCTACTTGGAATTAGTAACTGCTTGGTTATATTACCTTATTGGTAAGTCGTAGTTGTCTTATCAAAGCAATTTTTATTTATGTTACATTTCATTTGTATTTATGACTGTTTGTATTTTGGTTGACAAAATAATGAATCTACACGGAACCAGGTTCTGTGGATGGGATCAGTATTGTACTTGATCAAAGTGTAATATAATATATACACAATTTTACACATGCCCTCTGAACTATACAATAAATCTGATGTAAAGTGTCGGCTAGTAGAAAAAATAAATAATTATTTATCAGCCGACTCATTTTCTGTCTTTATTTTATAATTTCATATTGTGATAATCCATACTGACAGTTTGATCACAGCGTAAATAAAATGGTCAGGAGTCTCAGTGACCTGTAAAGGTCTTGTTGCATACTAACCAACACAATTCAATGTTCAAGTATTCACAGCACTGTATTTCTATACAAAAAAATCGGATACTATTGTTCTTTTTTAACATTGTTTTGTGGGAATAAAATCTCTTTCTCTTATCTTTTAAAAATCATCTTCCATTTTCTACCCAATAAAAAAAAATTTCAATCTATTTTATTATTTTTCAGCAATTCCTGGAAAGGCTGGGGTAAGTTATCATTGCATATTCAAGCCATTGGCTACTGGACAATGTTTTTGGCATTGAGATGTTATATTTAATAATTATTTAAGCTGTATCAGTATTGTATTGAGTGATTGTACCAACAAAGCAAGGGGCAGTATGCGAATCTATATTGAATAACTTGTTGAAACCTTAATACCACTATATCTTTATTGACTATGAAAATGATCGCATTGAACTACGCAAGCGAAGCAACACATGAAATTTAAGTGAATACAATAAATGCAAGTTTTGATGCATTTCCATTGTACTATTGCTTTGTTAGAATATTCTTGTCTCGAAGAAATTGTGTAGGATGTTATATGATTGTGACAAGTGGTTTTTTTCGTGTAATGGTAATAATGTATTTCCTGACATCGAAGTGTGACGTAACATTAACATTTTTTATATCCATAGACTGCGTGGGAAGGTGGTTTATACAAGCTGAAAATTATATTCAAAGATGATTATCCTTCTTCACCACCTAAATGCAAGTTTGAACCTCCCTTGTTCCACCCCAATGTTTATCCATCTGGTACTGTTTGTCTTTCTATTCTGGATGAAGAAAAGGATTGGAGACCTGCTATCACCATTAAACAGGTTAGGCATTGGTGATACACCAATTGGAATCCTATCAATCCCAATTCATTCTACCGTATTTTACGGACCATATGGCACCTTTTTTTTCTTCAAAATCGATCGTGCGCATAATATATGGAACAGGTAGTACTTTATTGCGTACACTCAAAACTAGATAGTACTTGTAATGGTTGCGTCTTATGCACAGTGTGCCTTATGTATGAAAAAACCTGAGTAATTTAGGATAGAATTTACATATTTATCCTGGGGGAGAGGAAAGCCGATAAGACGGCTTATCCATTGGCGAACCACGGCCTCTCGTCCGGTTACCATTCCAAGTCGGGTATGGGATTAGTTATACTGTTTGTTTTCGGGAGCATGGACTTGGTGGTGGAGGAAGCCGTAACCGAACAGCGGTTACGTGAACCACCCAATGACGGCGAGGAGTCCAGCAATCCTCTCGCACATAACCATCCCTGCATGGGATTCGAACCTGCGAACCCACGCAGAGTAATTAGAGGTGCGGTGGCGAGCGCATTCCTAACGCTTAGCCCGTTGAGCCACTCCGCCGCGCCGCATTTATTGCGAGTGCTCGCTATAATTTGGTGCACCTTATGGTCTGTAAAATATGGTAGTTAAAATGCTTGCAGTTTTTTGCAATGTGACATTTATTTGAATTATCTTGCTTTGTGAAATGAGCATGGTGAACTCAAAATTAGCTGATTCTGCCTGTTTCATTGTCTTTTTTCAACCTTGAAAATAGGTCAACCTTGAAATAGGTACACTCCCAGCATAAAAATGACGTTCAACCAAAACGCATGTACAAAAACTTATTTTTGTAAAACACAAATGACGACATCAAAAAGATGAGTAGATTATACTGATTTCATTGACTGTAATCAATGCGATACAAGTTTATTCTTGAGATTTAAGCGGTTTGAAATTTATATATTGGTTATGGCGTTTAGTATGTCTAAAATGTGGTTTAGTAAAAATTGAAACCTAAATTTTCTCAACTTACCTGAATGCCGTAACCCGTAACCCTATCATTACTAATTTTATTAGATTTTTATAAATTGCAAAAAAACTTAAATAAAACAATCTGGGCTCTTTTTTTTTATCTTGTATCATAATTTAGATATTACTTGGCATCCAAGATCTGCTGACTGAGCCAAATATAAACGACCCAGCACAAGCTGAAGCTTATTCAGCATACAGGTAATTATATGACACATTCTTTTCCCCCTCACCTAGGCAAATCTAAAATATTTATGTTATTGCCTTGGCAATTGAAGGTGTCTCCATTTGCCTAGTAAATTTTCATTGTTAGATTTTAAATTCAAGATCTCAAATGAAGGAATATTAATGTAAGACTCCACTTCCCTATCATGGGCTCATGGCAACATCATACTCATTTCCAAAACGCTGCATTTCTACAATATGCTTAAAAATTTAATATGCTTTGTTGAGCAGGTCTTCTTTAACTGATATGTAGATTCAATTAGTCTCTATTCCATCGATTTAATGACTAATAAAATAGTGTTTCTTTCTGCTTTTCTGGCTAAAAGTTTATGGCAAAATTTTTCCTTCCAGTCATAACCCGCAGGAATATGAGAAAAAAGTTCGGAGTCAAGCAAAGAGATTTCAAAAGGATTGCATATAATATGAATTACCTCTCCTGCAATACCGTGAACTGTCACATAGTAGTCAGAAAATTATCGTCAATACGGACTTGAATTACCAGCATGGTTACTAAAAATTCCTGATATAAAATATTTGCAGCCCTTCTGCTTAAGGCATATTTTTTGTGCTAGTTTTATATGTATATTATTGTAAGTGACTGCATCAAATTTGGGACGAAGATGCTATGACTTGTATTACAAGGAGTTGATGGCCGGTATATTGACTCCCATGTATGTACATGGACTGGGCCACGGAAACGCAACCGCTCAGGTGTGCACATGGATTAATTATCATAACAGTTTTTGTTAATACATTTTGTACATCATTGTGTATCGAACCTTGGGAACAAAATTTTTCAGACTAGCTGGTTTCATTGCATTACTGTTCCCTGATCGTATTAATTTGAATTGCATCAAGTCTCACATCAATCAACTTAGCCTGATTCATAACATAATTCTTTGTATTCATGGTTGAGTTTTCTGAATGAGTGTAGTGACCTTGACGGGCATCGCATGCGAAACAACATAAGGCTCTGCGGTGTGGCGCAACGTGATAGGGGTTAGGATTACGCTCGCCACGGCGCCTCTGATTAGCCCCCGTGTGGGACAATTATGCGCGAGATGATTGCCGGTAAAGTAAATGGATGAGGAGCTCTGGTTCTACATATGATTGAACCTTCGTTTTCGGCTTTTTTCTCTCCAGTGATAAATACGTTTATACTATCCTACGTTTTTTTAGTGGGCCACACTTTTCATTGAAGGAGGGTGTTTTAGCATTTCAAATAGAATCCGGCGTATTAAGTTGCTGTTAATTTGAGTCTACGTGGTTTTGTTAAAATTATGTTAGTCGTTGGAATTACCCAAATCAATAAAAGAGAGAGAGATTTGTATTTTTTGTCGACTAGAAAACAAGCAATGGTATACGATAAAATATATTATATAACTTCACCTCAATACTTTATTTTCACCCGGATTAATTTGGCCGATATTGTAAGAAATCGCAACGTGGTCAGTGATAAGATTTTATCCGCACCGTTTTCGCGACGAGATTTTGTCCGGCCCGCTGACTGTATCCAACCACACTCTGTAATGCGGTCCGACGCATCATTCCTGAAAGTTGACCGCACTGACAGTGCGAGCTGGTGAAATAAACAATTGCCTTAGTGAACAAACAATTGCGTTAGCACACTTGTTAAACGAACAATATAAGATCAAAGCATAGAGCGTTGTAAACATTCCCCACTACTGGTATCAGTTATATTTATATTCTAAATATAAATAGATATTAGAAATTAGATTCTATATTAAGTTTTATTAACCATGGAATATCCCAAGAAACGTAAAGTTGACAGAGAGTGTCAAGCATTTGACAAAGATTGGATACCGAAGTATTTTTTGTAATAATACGGCTTTTCGCGACGAGATTTTGTCCGGCCCGCTGACTGTATCCAACCACACTCTGTAATGCGGTCCGACGCATCATTCCTGAAAGTTGACCGCACTGACAGTGCGAGCTGGTAAAATAAACAATTGCCTTAGTGAACAAACAATTGCGTTAGCACACCTGTTAAACGAACAATATAAGATCAAAGCATAGAGCGTTGTAAACATTCCCCACTACTGGTATCAGTTATATTTATATTCTAAATATAAATAGATTTTAGAAATTAGATTTTATATTAAGTTTTATTAACCATGGAATATCCCAAGAAACGTGAAGTTGACATAGAGTGTCGAGCACAGTGATTTCCCTACACCCCCCCTGTAGGGGGTGAACACCCCTCCTAAAATTTCAAACACCTCCCCTAACTTTGAGGTGCGATTCCACATTTTATTTCCTAACTCAAGTATAATTGTATTCAAATATAACGACTATGGCATATTTATCAGTGTAGATGAGGGGTTCTAAACCGCAGTCTGCGGGCCAATTACGGCCGGCGTGACGATTTAAAATGGCCCGCCGAACTTGAGTGAAATAGTTTAACGAGCTAACCCTTCATGTAGTACCTTTTGAGTTTTAGATACCGTCTATTGTTACATCATTATCACAGTTTAAGCACGTTTATTTCGCAACAATTGAATTATACCGGTATCTTATGTATACGTATGGGTATTAGAATTACACACTTCAGTATTTTAGATATTTGCCGTATATTAAGAAAGCTTAAAGATGTCACAAAACGAAAACTAGGCACTGAAAACAGACGATTTTTAGATGAATGACAGCGTTTTTATTTCTTTATTGAAAAGAATCAAACTTCAGCGATTTGTCTTCTTACCAACAAAATATTTCAGTCCTGAAGGAATACAACATTATGCGCCATTATGATCAGTTGACGCGCGTATTTCAAAATTTAATTCATACAAAAGTCAAACACACATGTTCAAAAAATGTGAAATGTGTAACAAAACAAGCCATAAGTAGCCATTCATACAATGCCAGATGAGCAAGTAACTTCATTAGTCACTATCAGTTGCAAATTACTTGTTGAAACGTAGTAGTATATATATATTTACGGTTGAAAGTCGTGCTTGTTATCTATTTCCCGGGAATTCTATCAGCTAAATATTATAATTATTGATTTTATCACATAACAAACCGCGATGCTAGGTGTATCTAAAATCAAGCTTAGAGCCTATTTTGGTGCCTATTTCTCAAAATTTTCTCAGGGCGCTTAAGCGCGCCCTGAACCCCAGCCGTGTCGTCCCGCACTTTTCCTCGCTCCCCTTTTCTGGCCCTACAATTTTATTCTGCTGTGGATTTTGGCTCGCCGTCAATCAACTTGGGGAGCCCCTCATGTACATCGTTTCTTAAATACATACCATTTTTTTAAGAATACAAATAACCTAGTCTCTAATAGTAAATTATTTACCACCCCCCCTAAATTTCGAAAAACCCCCCCTAAAATAAAAAGCTGGGGAACATACTGGTCGAGCATTTGACAAAGATTGGATACCGCAGTATTTTTTGTAATAATACGGCCCACCGAGGACTACATTTTTCCACATCTGGCCCGCCGACTCGAGAAGTTGCCCACCCCTGATCTAGAGTGGGGGCAATGTTGCGCTGATTTCAGGTTTGTTCACAACGTGAAAGAATCGGGACTAGTGCAACATCTCTCGTCTCAAATCTTTAAAGTTTATTCTAACCATCACTTCGCCAGAGCGAAAGTTTTTTCAAGATCGATCTTTCCAATGCGTAGCCTACTACCGTGTTTCCCCGAGAATAAAAAAAGACTGGGTCTTATTTCAATTTCTTCCGAAAAATAACACTGGGGCTTATTTTCGGGGGATGTCTTATATTTTTATTTATCAAAAACAAAATTACAAAGTAGAGAATTACGGGATTTTCAAATATAAAAAATATGAAAACCGATATCCATTTACTTATACATAACACATTTTATTCAAAATAACTGCAAAACATAGATTACCTAATACCAATCATTCACAACGTGTAGGAGAGATTTCTTGCTATCAACTGGGTCCAAAAAGAGTTTCGCGTTTTTGACTAGGTCCTATTTTAAGGGGAGGGCTTATAATAAAATCATTTTCTAAATTCAAGCTAGGTCTCATTTTCAGGGTAGGTCTTATTTTCAGGGTAGGTCTTATTTTCGGGGAAACACGGTACATCCTCATAGCCAATAACGTGGAAACGTACATAAGGCAACTGTTTTTGCAGGATTAGGTTCATTTAGTTTCGAGGTCATATTATTCGGGCTGATCTCTGTAGTCAGTTTTTTTTAAACCCAAACGCCTTGTATCAGTAGTAACCTTGGACTCTCCCGTGCATGAGGGCAAAAGCAGTATTTGAAATAAAAATACAAATGATAATTAACCCAACTAAGCATGAACATGTAATGAAATTATACACACGTCAATATAAAAAAAAATGATGAGGCTTATCTAACTAGGCCAGCCCCCCAAAGAAATAGAATTACGAAATATGAAATTAATGTTGGTGCTCGTCAAGTGGCCCGTGATATGGCGGATATACAATTGAATTACATAAAATTTGTATATCCGCCATATCACAAGCCACAGCTAATCCGCCGAACAAGAAGCACACGCGAAAAACAACATTAACGAAAATTGCTGCAAAGGGCTGGCCAACTTTGCGATGGGTTTATTAGGTGAAAAATGAAATGACTGATGTATGGGTACCTCTGACCTTTTACTATCCACTGGAGTAAAGTTTAAAAATGCAAAAAAATCTGTTCGAATAAGTTAATCAAAATCATAATTTGGCGACATGTGACAAAAGATGCAAATTGAAACTGGAATAATGAAGGGGAACGATAAAAACTGATACCTACCGATATATATATATATGGTGGTTCATGCCCATCGCATGATAATTCTAGTTTAATTAATATGAAAATCTGTGTGAGCCTATACAAACACTACAATCAAACTAACAATATGTCGGCTGAATAAGCTCAGCAATCTTAGCTTATGTGATGCTTATCTTAGCTTGCTTTTTAGAAACAAGCTAATGAATTCATTGATACGAGTGGAACATATTCCAACAATTTGTTGGATTGTTGGAATAATCCCAGCAAATCTTTAGGGAGCCTATATAAAAGTTTAGCAACATTTTTTCTGTAAAACAGTAATCGATTAGCAAAACAACTAGTGCTCTATAGATTTGATAAATGGAAAATAGATGTGAAGTTGTTCAATACGGGTAGACGACTGTATTTGCTTTGTAGCCTTCGTAAGTATGGTTCTCGTAGTAATCAACCAGCTGTTTTTTGTACCATGCATTGCTATCATTAGACAGAATGAGTCGAGTCATATGTATGCTTGGTAATTACAAAGTGACTATGGTAATTACTGTAGTTGTTGTTTGAAAATACCAGCTTGAAAATATGAGTTTCTAAGGAGTTTTTAAATTCAAGTCTTGAAATTATTAACATCTGGTAAAATAATTAAAATTTTTTAGGCAGATTGAAAAAATATCCGTATACTTATTACTACTCTCTGAAAAGTCGAAATGTTCCCCTTGGTGTACATGTACCCCAATTTGGGAACCCCTGCACTAGCGGGAATCAAACGGGTGAATATGAACAGTTAAATTACAATAGAGCAATGTCCAACCTTCGATATGAAAGCCAAAACGAAGAAGTAATAAATCTTTTATACTAACTGGGAGTCTGACCACCAGATCACTAAGATACTTAATCTAATGTACCCATTGAAAAGTCGAAATGTATCCTTTGGTGTACATAGGATAGGATAGGATAGGATTTACATATTTATCCCGGGGGAGAGGAAAGCCGATAAGACGGCTTATCCATATGGCGAACCACGGCCTCTCGTCCGGTTACCATTCCAAGTCGGGTATGGGATTAGTTTTTACTGTATTGTTTGTTTTCGGAAGCATGGACTTGGTGCTGGAGGAAGCCGTAACCGACCAGCGGTTACGTGAACCACCCAACGACGGCGAGGAGTCCA